TGTTTCAGTATGGTGTAAGTGATTTAATCAGCTGATGACAGATGATCTCCTTGTTCTCTTCTTGTGATTTTCACAAAAACACCATTTTTGGGTACAAGAGTGTTGGTTGACTTTAACTCAAGAGGAACCTGAAGATAAAAAAAGAGGTTTCTGGGTAAAACAAACATCTTCCACATATTTGTGTAAAAATATCTTAAAAATGGAAGCATCTGACAAATGTGTATCTAACCAGTAGTCATAGGATTACATGACTATTTGCAGCTTATGGCAGTTTCAAATGTCCAATAAACTCCAGCATAGTTATTATTTGCAGCTGATAATACTGACAGTCCAAAATTTTATATGACATTAAAGCAAAAAACAATTAAAGGACATGTGAGAGTAGTTTTTGGTCATGCTTCCACTAAAACCTAAATTTAAAGATAAACATAGGTTTTCTTACCGGTGGTTACCTTATGGAATATTATACAAATATATTGATGTTTTCAGTTTTTTCAGTGTAATTCACAGTAAACAGTGGTTGTAGAATTACATGCTTGTAGTTATAAATTCAACAGTCTTACAGTTATTCAGTGTAGGAATTACTTTAATGAAAATGTATGGGTTTTCTCTTATTGCATCCTACCTTAGTATCAGAACAGGCCTTGATGCTGAAGTTGTGGAACAGATGCATTAAAGCCATTTTGATTTCAAGCTGGGCGAGTCTCATTCCCACACAGTTACGGGGGCCAGCTCCAAATGGTAGGTATACGAATGGATGTCGACTGGCCTTGGCCTCTGGTGTAAACCTGGAAAACAACAGCAAGTTTTTTTTAAAAGAAGAATGAAAAGCATTGGAAAATAAAGGAAATCCTATGCATGGTTCAGTCCCAGTAAAATCTTTTACAGTGTGTAAAGAAAACAGAATGCAATGATTTACAAACAACAAATCCAGATGCTGAACTGGCCTGCCTGCAGTCCGCACCTTTTACCAACTGGAAACATTTAGCACATCATGAAAGTCCAAAGTGCAAAAAAAGAAGTCCTAAGACTGTTGAGCATTGAGGGTCTTATACAGTATCAGACAAGAATGAGACAACACTCTTCTCCCAAAGGTCCAGCAGCTGGTCTCCTCAGACTGTTGTTAAGAAGAGGGGATACTACTAACTGGTAAACATCACAGTGTCACAACTTCAAAGCCGCCAGCAAAAACAACAAGAGCAAATGTTGTTTCAAGAAATAATAAAATGTCTCAGTTTAAATGTTTTCAGTCTTGTCCTATTGTGAATGAAATATATGTTTATAAGATTTGTAAATGCATTGTTTTAATTTACATTTTACACTGTGTCCCAACATTTGAATTGAGGTTGTATTTGTGGGTTGCACGTGTTATAATGTCACTACACAAAAGTGTTTACCACACCTTAACAATTGTATTTGTACCACTGTACAGAAAAATATT